TGACAAATTTGTCCTTATTTTGAGGTCTTTAATGTTTCTCAACATTGTAAATCATTACATGCTAGGCAATAAGAATAAATGTCTTTTATTCACATCAAAAATGTTAAAATGCTCATTAATGAAAGGGGTCCACTATTTAGAAATGTCCTTTACAAACAATTTTATTCTGAATACACTTGACAGCAGTTTTGGGTTTGGCATATAATTTTTTCTGCAACAAATTTTAGTACAACATAATTCATCATTCAAACAATATAAATGAATAATATACAGTATATATATATAAAATATCAATAAACAGCATTATTCAGAAAGAAATTTGGATAATAAAATTGGTTATCACTTCATGCTGACTTTATAATTATTGTAAAATCACTTACATGTTGTGGCATTATCACGGTGAATTATTAAAATATAAATATAAAATGTTCAAGAGCACTTTCGGTAATGTACAGTTACCATCTTCAGGTAAAATGAATGAATACTACAGTTTTCTGTATCAGAGTTATAGTACTTCTTAAAAAGCGGTGCAGCTAAATGGAACTCCAATGTAAATCGAAATTTTCTTGCAGTTCGAAAATGTTTAGAAATGGAACGGAAAATTATATAAATTCGTAAACTATGGTTGCTATGCGACCATGTAGCTCTAGCAATCTAATTTGTAATATTTAAATAGAGTAGTCCATGTTTTAGAAATTTTCAGAGTTGTGGTATTTATACATGATGAAGCATTGAAATATATAGGTTTTCCCAAATAAAGAGTTCTTTATGATTATTGCATCCTTTCAATAGTTTTGTTTGGTCCCAAACCAGCCAGTAGTCTTGATCAAGGACTTTTCTCGCTAATTCCGTTGATGGCAGGTTATTACAGATGTCACCCTAATGTTCTGTGATGCGTGATGTTAGTGTTCTAGAACACTAACATCACGCATCACAGAACATTAGGGTGACATCTGTAATAACCTGCCATCAACGGAATTAGCGAGAAAAGTCCTTGATCAAGACTACTGGCCGGTTTGGGACCAAACAAAACTATTGAAAGGATGCAATAATCATAAAGAACTCTTTATTTGGGAAAACCTATATATTTCAATGTTTCATCATGTATCAATACCACAACTCTGAAAATTTCTAAAACATGGACTACTCTATTTAAATATTACAAATTAGATTGCTAGAGCTACATGGTCGCATAGCAACCATAGTTTACGAATTTATATAATTTTCCGTTCCATTTCTAAACATTTTCGAACTGCAAGAAAATTTCGATTTACATTGGAGTTCCATTTAGCTGCACCGCTTTTTAAGAAGTACTATAACTCTGATACAGAAAACTGTAGTATTCATTCATTTTACCTGAAGATGGTAACTGTACATTACCGAAAGTGCTCTTGAACATTTTATATTTATATTTTAATAATTCACCGTGATAATGCCACAACATGTAAGTGATTTTACAATAATTATAAAGTCAGCATGAAGTGATAACCAATTTTATTATCCAAATTTCTTTCTGAATAATGCTGTTTATTGATATTTTATATATATATACTGTATATTATTCATTTATATTGTTTGAATGATGAATTATGTTGTACTAAAATTTGTTGCAGAAAAAATTATATGCCAAACCCAAAACTGCTGTCAAGTGTATTCAGAATAAAATTGTTTGTAAAGGACATTTCTAAATAGTGGACCCCTTTCATTAATGAGCATTTTAACATTTTTGATGTGAATAAAAGACATTTATTCTTATTGCCTAGCATGTAATGATTTACAATGTTGAGAAACATTAAAGACCTCAAAATAAGGACAAATTTGTCACTCCCAGTCGATGTCCATCACTAAGAGGTTATAATATGTCACAAAACTTTTATGGGGATGAAATTAAAATGCTTTCAATGGTTTATGAGCTTAAATTACATTTAATAACTAAAGTAATATGTTTTAACCCTTTTTAGAGTATANGTAATCGTATGGGAAAAACGATTCACCTTATGACATTTTCATGATACAATCTCAGTTTTGGAATGGATTAATTTCATATCCTGAGGTACCACTGTATAAATAAAATATATTTCAAAATTATTTTGTATGGAGCATTATCTTCATATAAAAACACTGTAGAAAATTAAAAAAAATCAAAAATATTTAATTTAAATATAAATAAGAGTTTTTTGAGTAATTGTAGACACTTCTAAATAGTATTAAGTAAACAAAGCAAGAATAAGAAAGGAATGTTGCACTTTCTTCTCTAAAAAAAAAAATCAAAGAAATGGAAAAGAAAGTCAAATTAAATTTAGTTTTATGTATAAACAATAATATATCCTAACAATAATTTTATGAGACAATATAGTTATTTAAAGAAACATGACTGATACACAGGATGTTTTTCGCATAGACTATTAACACAACTTTCACGTTCTACCGGAAGTTGAAGATGGTCCAATCACGTGACTTGCCTCAGGATTTGTTTACTTTTAGACAAGGTCAATATATTATATCATTAGGTAGTTACAAAAATGTTGGAAAAGCAGGATGTTTATTTTGACATCCAGCTCTTCTAATTGTCCCGAAAAACTGTGATAAAAAATATTTTGTTATAATTTTTATACACTGTTGTAGAAAAAGTGCAACAATTAGAAGTATGTTTTAGGTTATGGGTTGGTTAAATAGTTTATAAACTATAATAAAAGTAATTAAAAGACTTTTTCAAACTACTTTGCTGGGTTTAGAAAGGTATGATGGGCAATTTGAAAACAAATTGGGCACTATATTCTTAATTTGTGAAGGAATTTTGTAAGGAACATTAGTGATTGATGTTTAATATTGATTTTCTTTCATCTTTATACTCTCTTCACAAACAAAGAATTTGATGCAGAACAAAATGCTTTTCACAAACATTGTAACATTCAGTCAGTTCTTGATCTGCATGTGTTATCATTCATTCCCATTTTTAAAATAATTTCAAATCTTTTGGTCCCTTAAATAATTTACTATTTGTTTCTTTGGATAATAATTGCCTTTGCAATTAGGCACACATCATTTAAAACATATGATTTTGTAAGAATTTTTTAAGAACACTGTCAAGCAAGGCAATAGTAAATGGTAAACGATACAAAATGGACTTCCTATAAGACAGCACCTAGTAGCAAACATCTGAAGTACAACCACATTCCTGACAAATTTTCGACAGTCAAACAATAGGAGTGGTATCACCTGTATTCTTACACCACGATTCAAAAAAACAAAATTCTCCATTTTGTACAACTCAAATTTCAGACTGCTTGCATTATACTTAGTTTAATATGAGGAACTTTATAAAGAATTAAACAGAAATATTAAAAACAAGCAAGCTTTCACAATGGATTTCATTGAGACAAGATGATCAACTCTGACAAACTATTGGAGGGAAAAAAAGAGAGGCCAAAGAAAGTAAATTACTTAGAAAATTATGTGGAATTTTCAACCTAAAATGGAAGTAAATTGTTTCTTTAATAAAAAAGTGAAAAACATACAGAATGAAAATCATTTCCACTTTCCATTCATTTTATAATGGTTAAAAAAACAAAACTTGAAATCTAATCCTCTCTATCTCATATAAATGTTAGTCTCAATTTACATGGAACCAATCTAACATGTTTTTTTGCTTTTTCAAATTGTGGACACTAAGAGCCTTTTTCACTCATGAATCTAGCCAAACCCATCTAAGACAACTAAATGGTGAGAGATGGATCCCAACATATTCAGGACTCACTATCCATGAAAATTCCTGGAGTTGCTTGCCCATATTCAATCCTTTCATACCTTATAACAACTTACAGCCTTTTTTTAACCTGCAAGAATTTAAAAATCCTCACAAACCAAGAAGAATTACAATTCTCATAAATTACATAAAATATTAAATTTTATTAAATAATAAAATTTATAAACCAAAAATATTGTATAAAGAGAAAACACTTTATTGTAAAAAAAATAAACTGTCAACAAGCAGTGCAAGTCAAGATGGTAAATACTACCACAATAGACTGCTCTCCATATGGCCAAATCAACAAAAAATTCCATTTACATCACCGATTATTTATAAAACTGAAATAATAACAAAAATAAAGAAAAGGTGAATTGTCTTAAGGATCACTGATGATGTAGAAACAAAACAATGGAAAGATTGACAGAAGCAAGGTTTTTTACCTTTGTAAAAATGTTGTATTTTATATATTTATTAAATGTAATTAACACCGGCCATGGTCTTTTTACTATTTTTTACTTAAAAATAAAGAAGTTTGCAATTATTCTCAGCCTTTATATGAAATGTGTTTATTTTCCTCATTATGATTTAATTTTAAACATACAGAACAACTTTCATTTTAGAAAAACACTTGTATTAAAGAACTCAACAAAAGGTACAAAATACATAAAATGCCAAATAGTTAAATAAAGAAAATAAATGAGAACCAATACATGGCACTGCTAATAAACTCAAGATGAGACCAAGACACTATTTCACAAGAATTGTTACATATCCAGACTGCCTCAAAATTTCAAAATCATATCAAAAAGCTTTTTATAATGTTAATAAAATTAACATTTTATAAATCTAGTAAGGAAACCTTTACATTATATTGGAGGAATTATGTAGTAAAGTGGCTTAAATACAGCTGGATAAGCCAATTTCATTTGAACAGGACTATGTCATCAGTTTCTTATCCAATTGTATTAAAGCCGCTTTACTACGTAACGCGCCCATTATGTTCAAATGAGTTAAGTACAGTACTAGTACATCACTCAGTAATTATTATCTCAGCTTTGGATTTATTACAAGTCATTTCCATTCTCACGTGATACTGAATTTTTAATAGAACACGTGACTTTTAAATTTATCAAATAAAGTTTTATTTCTCTTAACATTGTATTTAAGTATGGAAACGATGATTTAATTAAAAATTATACTTTTTAATAACTTCAGGTTACGATCAATTGCTATATTAATTAATTTTTACCTCGACTCCGTGATAAACATCGACAACATTTTCCCTTCTTGCTTTAGGATATTGAAATTTCATCTCGAATTGTTTATTTAATAATAAACTTAACGACCGAAAATTCTTTATCGGATTACAATGACGATACTGTAATACACGCAACGTGCTCAAGATTCTACCGTAACATAAATTAAAAGCAACGCTTCTAATCAAAGACATAACAGCCGCCAGATGGCAGCTTTAGCATTTCAAAATTTTATTAAAAAAAAGGGTTCGATTTTAAATTTCGATAATTTTTTGTGTTAAGTTTACAGAAAGATAACAGATTTTTCTAATAATTGTGTTTAAAATGTATTATTTTTCCAAGGAAATATTAAAATTTCAAGTATGTTTTCCAAATAGAATAGAATATTATTCTAGATGTCTATCTGTTATTTCTGCTATTAATTAACTTAATTAAGTTAAAAGTTTGAATTGGAAAAAAATTAAAAAATTATTACGTTAAAATATTTATTTAAAATGTAATTTTGACATAAAAATTAGTCGTAAAAACTCCATTATTGACATCTTTTTAAAGATTCTGAGAATCGTACGAAGCAATAAGAGAAAGAAAAGTTTATTACGACATTTGAGCTCGAAAGAAAAACTTAGTTTTAGCGAAATTATAAATTGACAAAATTAGAATTTTATTACATTTAAATGAAACGGCAGCACGGCGTAAATTTTTCAGAGCGACCCCTGATTATATACGGTCGCTCTGAAAAATTTTAAAATATCGCCACGATTTTGCCAGTTTTACATTTCTTTTCGCCACTTCAAATTATTTACCGCCACCAGTTTACTCGCTAATTAATTCATGTACCGGTAACCTTATCAGTTTGACGTCTGGAAAGAAAAAGTAACATGTCATTTACAAGGAGACGTTCGAGTCTCCGATTCGAACGAAATTTGGTGAGCACGTAGCCTTAAACATAAACAGTTTCTTGTCCAAATAATAGGACTCAGTTTTCAAGCGTTTCCGAAAAATGGGCCTCAGAAAGTTTAGTTTAGCTTATAAAGTCTAAAAGTTTCATATCCAAGAGTGGCGATAGCAGAGTGAATAAAACGTTAAGCACGAGAGTTAGCTAATAAAACAAGAGATTAAAAATCGTGACGTCGTTTCCTGTTTACGAAAAACGAGCCCCTATAGATTTAACTCTTGCGTAATAATAAGATGAAAAGAAGTATAAACTAATTGAATTTTTTTTTATCTACTAAGACTTTAACATGCTGCATATGTCACAAATATCAGGACTTATTTTAAGATTTTTTTCCTACTGCACAAACGTCAGTTTTGTTTTGGCCGAGGCGATAAATCCTAGCGTTAACGAGCAATTATTTATTGTGACATCATCACAATACCGGGCTACAATTTTTAATCATATTTTTTAATTTTAAATATATGCTCTCCACCTCAAATTATTAGTGGCCTACCCCTGTATATCATACTTTAACAATAGAGTCGTGCCGGTCATCTATCTAACATTTTTCAGAGGAAAATTTTTGTATTGAAATAACATGACTTCCGGTTAGCATTGGAAGTTTATATATAGTTAATTGCGACCTCCTACCCCTAAAGTTCCCATATATGGTTTCGTCTTTCATCTATCTAATTCCGTTCCCGAGATTAAGGAAAGACTGATGGAAAGACCACAGTAGGAATTTGTAGGTCTACAGTTTTTTCAGATTGCAGCCCAATAAGCTCTTGTAAAAGGCATAAATAGAAATAAGGACAATAACACAAAACTTACATTTGTATAGCACTGGCGTGCCGTGACATTTGATGATAGGGAAGCTGTTTCTGTAAGAAGCCGACTTCCAGGGGCAATCAGTTAATTCTATAAATGTATTTTTAATAGATTATTTATCTGACGTAATGAATAAATAAACAAGTTCAATATAATTACCTCTGTTATTAAATTCAATAGAATGCCCTTTAACTGCCGATTCTTGCTTTGATAAAAACATATATCTATTAATTTAAATATAACTATCAGCCGTAAATATTTCGTTATAATTTTCAATATTTATTTTATATTATTTACTAATGTTAAATTCTATTCCGCTTTGATTTCCAAATTGCTTCAAATACGAAAGAATCGAAGATTTTTCGCAGTGGCGTACCGTAGTGGGGGCGGCCCGCCCCGGGCGGCACTTTTAGGGGAGGCAAAATTTCACAATAAATAATAATAATATGTTGTAAAAGTTTGAAACATTCTAATCTATACTTGCATCGCGCCTACGATAGTGCTATCGTCCGGACAGTCCGGGAATCGGCTCGCCGTCCAGGTGAACTAGTAATTTTTTTAACAGAGGAAATCCTGCGAAACCTGTTGACCATTTTTTTTAGCTTGTACGATTCATTCACGTCCATATACACCACTAAAATCCAATAGAACTATTTTAAACAGGTCTACTACCACCGAACTTTTCATTGCTTGTTCTGTGACAAAACTGAATTTTGGTCTTTTAAATTGAAATACCTAAATAAGGGGAGCCGAAATTTTCATCCGCCCCGGGCGGCTGACACCCACGGTACGCCACTGATATTTCGTGTCTTTTGCCAGCTAAACTGTCAAAGCCATTCTTATTCAACACACTCATTACATTTGAAAATAATAGGCAAGGCCAACAAAACAATTATTGCATTTTTATGCATTTACAGAGTCGTTTTATCGTAAAAATGTCGAACAAAATTTTTTATTGAAGTGTTTATATTTAACTTAGGCATTGGCCTTTCTCTTTTAATAATGTTTTCATTTTCATTATATGATCTTAAGCCAAAACTTTTTAAAAATAAATTTTCAATATCGCAATTACATTCTGAATCGCCAGCCACAATATAAGGGCTAAAATTAAAAATAAAATTATAAAAACTTACTTGTTAAAATAAAATGTGTAATGGATATATAATTATACATACCTGGTACAAAATATTCAGTTGTATAAATATAGTTTTGTGAAAAAACGTACATAAAAATAACATAAAATTCTTTACTTTTTAAATATTAAAACAATCCGCTTAGTTAAAATTGCTCCCTACCAGTGACTCATGCATAGAATCAGAGACGATCCGGCTAGGTGTGCGGTGCGTGCATGCACACAGGCTGCAAAATCCCGAGGGTGCCGATACCGGTTAATGTCAAATACTTCTTTTGTCGCATCACTAGTATATCTCAAAGAACGCGACAGGGTTGTTCTAAATTTTAAACGTTTCTCACCATAGCTGTAAAAATCTAAATATGTTAAACTTAATAGATTGTCCGTCATTTGTTTTCTAACTAATTCGTTTTAGGACCAGGTGTCCACGGAAATTTCCAAATTTTACAACTTTTCGGTCACTCTTGTTGAACTGGAAAAATTTCTGTTTATATTACGTCTAATATTACGAAGAAATCAGTCCCCGCTCTATTCGGCTAGAGATTGGGTCGGTTAAGCTTTTAAGTAATATTCTGGTTCTTTCAGCAAGGTTTTATTTATGTCCCCAATTCCCTAATCTCATAATTATTTAACTATTTCTTAAGTAGAAATAAGTCGAAACCAGTTACTTTGTACTTGAATATTTGTAGTCTCGGGAAAAAAGTGGAAAGACAAATTTTTATGACAAACGGATACATAAATCGTAAATTTAAGGAAAATAAATTATAGAGCTTTTCCTGTACCTCGTGCGTCTCTTCATTCATTAAATTTAGTTGTAAATAATGCTGCAAAAGTAACGGTTAATTTTTTAACATTATACAAGAATTGTACACGTTTTTTTCTACATCCCCTTAAAGATGGGACATACGAAATCGTAATATCACTGGTTTAACATTGAAATTCGTAAGCAATATAAAATGGGAGAGCGGAATAAAAATATCAAATATTTTAATGGTTTTTTTTAACTTCTGTCAACTATACAGAAAACTATCATAAAAACATACAGGTAAATTCTTATCGGTTGGGTTAAGTTATGAATCTACTCGTGATTCACGTAATCGNAAACAAAAATTTGAGTGCAATTAACTTATATTTTTATTTTTCAAATAAATTGGAAAATGCCACCTAAGTTTTTTCAACTAATTCGAGATTTTAAAGCGTGAGATTATTCTGTTCGACTTTAAAATCGTTTGCACTAGTAAGTAGAACGAACTGATTTTTAATTTTGTCAACGATGAATTTCGATTCGAGATCTTTACCCGAGCCTACAAAGTTAGTATATTTGAAAATTAAAGTTCTTTTTAATCTTAGTACAGATAATTATAAAACGATTCGAATGGAATTAAAATTATTTATTTTGTTAGTTTTTATTAAGTTCTATTTATTGAATTTAGCAAACATTAAGAAAATACTGTGTATAAAATTAGAATCTAATTGATTTGAAATTTTTTATCGTTGCAAAATTGAAATCGAACGTCTCGGGAGTGATGAGCTCAATTTTTTATCATGAGGCTTAATCGGGACACGGATAGCCCTTTGGAACACTTTCGGAGAAAGCGATGATTTAAAGAAAACTTTCAATCCATTTTCAATAATAACTTACATAATCATTAACAAATACTTTAAGTTGTAATGAATAATTTCTCTATTATTATTAATCAGAAATCGTTACGTAACGTATAACAAATATTAATTGAATTTATGAAATTAAAAGATGAATTTTTTTAAACATGATGTAAGAAAAATCATATATATGCACATATTATTATTCTATGTATATTTATTTATTTTTAATAATAATAGAGAAATAACTAAACATCAACATTTCAAATTTAATAGAAAATAAATTAATAATTTAAATTATTAAGTTATATTAATGATTAAATTTGGCAAGAGATGGCGCATAAGGCCTGCCTCTAGTGCCAAATTACTTAGCATTTAATCAATAATAATAGTACAGTAGTAGTAATATATAGCCCGATATAATCCGGCAATCGTTTGGCGTTAATAGATAAAGCAACAGATTTTTTATTTTTTTCACTCACTTCCTTTCCATTAAATATACAACAGATTATAGTCTATTTATCCTAACTTGGCAGCTACTGTAAACAAAGATTCTGTCGTATTAATCCGCCGAAGATTTTCATTGGTCAAATCACAATCGGAAGTTGCTCGACACGTGTTGACCAGTTAAGCCCCTTTCTCTGCACGTGTTAAAGTAGGTCAAAGTTGTCACGACAATTTAAAAATTACCGAGATAATACAATACTTAGAAAAGTTATTATAGCTTACTTTAACATTTTTACGTAGCCGTTTAAATTATTTCCATCGTTTAAATATAGTTTGTCAAAAATTATTATTAAATATATATTATTAAGACTTACAGAAAACATGTATGAATTTATCTATGTTATATTTATATAAATAAAAATTTTTTAAAATAATTATAGTGTAAACTTACCTTATTAATCATCTGTATCAGAACATAGTTGCTCAAAGTAATCATTTATATCGCTTTCGTCACTACTTGTGTTAGACTGAATAATCAGTTTTTCTACAACAGTTTCTGAAATCTCATCAAGTTCCCACATTCGTTGTTCTTCTTTTTCTATATGTTCAATACATTTTCTCCATCGTTCTTCATTTATTTGTTCGATAGCTTCATTCATTAAAATTCGCACATCCGACAGTTTGAATGTTGTGTTGTGACGTGCGATGTAACCTTTCATATCTGCCCATATCAATTCAATAGGATTTAAATTACAATGATACGGAGGTAAACGTAACACGTCGATACCTATTTCTTTGGCCATTTCGTCAATAATATATTTATCGTATTTATGTTTTATTTTTTTAACAATATCCAAAAGTTCTATTTTCAACATTTTGTCGTTATGACGAACCCTATTTTTTTCCAACCAAGAAATTATGTCAGCTTTTTTCCAACTACAATTTGGAATCTTCTCAATTTTAGCTGAGTGATATGGAGCATTGTCCATGACAACAACAGCATTACTTTCTAATTTTGATAATATTTTTTCAAACCATTTTTTGAAATTATTGCTATCCATTTCTTCATGGTAATCTTTTGTCGACTTTGATTCAAATTCATACAGACCACCATTCAGAAAACCTGTATTGCTGCCTATATGAACAACAACTATTCGTTTCCCCTTTCCAGAAGGATTTTTCAATCCAGTAGATCGTCCAGACATAAAAGCTTCGCGATAAGACGTAATTGAACAATCCTTCCATACTTTATTCTTGGTATGGCCCGCATTAATCCATGTTTCGTCCAAATAGTAAATTTTACGGCCTAAAGAACGCATTTCTCTTATTTTTCGTAGATATTGTCTTCGCCATAAAATGATATCGTCTCTTTCAATTAATCTACTATTTCTGTTTCGGTTCGTATATTTAAAATTAAGTAATTTTAACAAATTATATATCGTAGATCGAGTAAAGTCTGGTAAATCTGGATCGTCATTAACAGCCTGTAATACCTTATCTACAGTAGGTAATTCGTTTAAAAAATAAAAATTGTGTACTTTACCTCTAATGGCACATTTTGTGAATTCGTCATATTTGTCAACGAGTTGAGTACGCTTACGGGTTTTCGAAGGAGTTATTACTTTACCATTAGTAAAATATTCTTTACGAATTCTGTAAATGCTCCGTTCTGATATCCCTGTTGTCTGTGCTACCATTTTCACTAAATCCTTCACGCAGACTTCTGGATTCGTTTCAGTTAAAGAATTAAACAAATTTAATACTATTTGTTTATCCGAGCTCCTCAGCGATTTTCCTTGCCGATGTTTAATCGTATTTACATTCAAGTTTTCCATTTTTGTAATTCAACAACACAATTTGAAATAACGGTAGTTATTGCAATGAATGGAAAAAGAAACAAAAACATTATAGTGCGCATGACCGGAAAAAGTTTATTTCTAATGATTCAGAATGTGCAAATATTTATTAAAATAACAACTTAACAAATATGAAATAATAACATTTATAATCATTGCTAAGTGAATAGCATTTCATTAATGATTTTATAAATAACGAAGAACTATTTTCTGCGGACGAATGAGATGCAATACGATTTTTAATTGATGGACATGGGTTTAAACCAATAAACAAAGGGAGGTGTGTCTTAGTTTGTTTACAGTAGCTGCCAAGTTAGGATAAATAGACTATAATTTAGACATTCCTGGCTGAGATTACCTTTTACGCACATCATCTTTTGTATACACCAATGACGTCATACTAATTTTAACTTAGAATTTTACAAATTTATAAATTATTTACAGTATCACTTTATCGTTGAATTTATTATAATAAATTATTTGTTATAATTTTGATATTTTGTGGAATGTAATATCCATTTATCATGACGATAAATCGTCTGATTATGCAAATTAGTAACTAAGTTAAGACCTATTGAGATAGTTGTCGAGATTTGACAAAATAAGCTTTCATAACTTATAAATCGAAATAAAAGAGGCAAGAATGTAAGTAAATATAACTATAATTCTCACTCTATGTGAAATTCATTTTCGATTGGATTTAATGTGTGACCTCAGTGTGACTTGGCCACACAGGTCTTTAACTGCTTAAGTGCGTAAAATAGTGGAAACTGAGCGGAAGTTTGGATCTGCTTATAAAAATTTGGATTTAAAGAATGTAACAGTTGCTGAATTAAGAAAGAAATTAAAAGAACGAGTAAGCGCATGATTTTCCCCTCGTAACCTCGACGTCATCGAAATGGCAGCCTCCATTGCTAACGATATGCATTTGAAAATTGCAGTCTATATGAAAATTACTAATTCAAAGTAACTTCAAAAAAATATGCGTAAAAATTAGCTCAGAAATTAAATATTATAACAACAACCCAGATGTGTTGTAACTCTGATGAAAGTCCATCAGAATTACAACACATCTGGGAAGACAATCGAATAAGAATAAATGACAAAATTTACGTCATTGTACGGTGGTACCACTTCACTAGCATAATTCATTATTTTTGGTCACTTTCTATTCTCGACTAGATTCTCCAAAGAACACCATGCCATCTCTTGGACGCTTTCTTCTTTCCTAAACCAAAATATTTGTTAACGAAGCATCTTTTGAAAACAACATTTAAAAGATGAAAATTGCTACAATAATAGACGCTAGTTCGACCTCCACGTTGAATTTTAAAATACAGTACAGAGTGAAAGATACTAGCGAAGCAGTTGTTAAATTAACAATCATAAAGCGCTGCACATAGCGTTACTGCAGCGATGAGTTTAACAAAACCCTCTTATTCTGTGAAATACTGTAGCAGTAATGTGATCAACTACTTAGCATTATTCATTAGTCTAACAATAGTAAACGTTAATCGCCGTTAACCTATAATTTACCGTCATCCATTAGGGCTCAAGGACGATATGCGAAATTGCTCCCCTAAGATTTTTTATTGCTAACATACATCATTTTTTTCCTTTAGAATAATATTTACACTATAGGCCTATATAGATACAGTAGAGCGTCGTTTATCCGTAAGTCAGTTATCCGAAAGAATTCCAGTCGGCCTAAAGTATAATTTTTATTTGTTTTTATATTTTTCAATGTATATATTTCGTTTGTAAAACATAAAGAAATCATTTTTAACGATACAATAGCCACGATTATTATTTTAAAAAGTTTACGTTAGGCTTAACATCGACGAAAATTCAATGCGAAGCGACATGCAACGGAGAAAAATTTCAACACGGGATAGGTTAATATATTTTTTCGTGCACAATCGGTTATACGAAAAATAAGTTATCCGAACAACCCAAGTCCCCAATTGATTCGGATAAACGACGCTCTACTGTTTTTTTTTATTGTTAATTTTAGATTTTATATTTTGTTGTTCGTTTATTTTAAGTAATTATTAAAGCATTAAAACTTTTATATAGTGTATAACTATTTAATTCATTACAAGCATAATTTTAATCTCCGAAATTCTAACATTATTTATCATAATAAATGCGGTTCAGTTATTAATTAAATAATACAGTACATGTGTCCTACATATTGTTAACTACATTGATGATGTTGGCATTATGCATTTTGCTAATATAAGTCTTGTTCAATTCGTCTAGAAATGTATGTTTTAATCTTAATTTGACATTATCTATTTAGTTTTACAATGAGCAAGTTTTGAAAAAAATGTCGACAGATTTTGATAAAAGTGTGCGCTATCCCAATCAAATAAACTCACAAAAAACTATTAAAATAAAAACATTCCAATTAAATGAGCGTTTCAATAACTTTTATTGTAGAGTAAAAGGAAAATCAGAATTTCGCAGAATAAAAGTAAACATTCCATAGTGCTTTGGTGCATGGTGCCTTTATTTTGAACGCTTTGAAAATTATAATTTATAATTTGTTTCATTTTTTAACAGAAAATACAAAATACAAAGTATAAGTTGAATAAATCAACTATTCAACAAAGTATTTTTATTTGAAATCCCACATTATTATTGGGATTATTTCCATTATATTTTGACTTAGACTGAGGGAAACAAAACTCTAGATATTTTGGTTGATTAATTTCATGGTAATTTATACAGTTTGATAAATAGCATAATGAAATGTTTATAAATTGAATGGCAAAACATTTAATAATATATCGAATTATTTTCAATATGTTTCTTTAAACTATTTAAAATTTTAAGTTTTAAAATTAATTTATTAAATTTCAGTACTAACTCAATGGCTTCCACTTTGATTAGACTAGAAGAATCGTTTATAAAGCAATATCCTGAGGATGTCCAAAAGAAACTGCAAGAAATTCGAAGTACTAAAATGATAATAGAACAAAAACATCATTATATCAAGCATCGTGTGGATGAATTGTTGGAAAATATCAGAAAACAAATATTTAAGGACGGGGATGAAATTTTAAACCTAAAATTGAAATCATTAGAAGAAATGGAGAAGAAAGTTAGAGATACAAGGTTGCTTCTAACAGATAATTGTATGAATATCCCCGAATCGATACGGGATATCTCTGAAATTGAAGAAATAGATTCATTTCATGATCAACTTTTATCTCATATCTCATTTGACTTCATAACAGATATATCGGATGCCAAATATTGTTTAGGTTATATTGAAAGTTTTCCACTCAAACCAAAAGACTTAACTCTTGAGATTAATGAGCTAAATAAATATGAAATTGGAACGGATTTTGAAGTTACAGTTAGAAGCAAGAAATCGTGGTACTTTATGACCTTGCGCTCATTAGCCGGCTATGCAGAGAACGAGAATGGAATAAAAATATTACCTAAGATTTTAGATAAAGAAGACGGTACTTACATATTCCTGTTTGTTTTAGATGATTTTTCTAAATACTATATCGAAATAACACTCTATGGTCGTCCAATCAAAAATAGCCCTCTTATAGTCAAGATCGAACCGAGCGTGCGAAGTAATAGATGTAAGACGTCTATTCCCAGAACGCTATCACCTTCAAATGAAGGAAAACATCCATTCAAAGACGGAAAACTATTAAATAAATATAATCAAAAATTCAAAGAAGAAGAAAAACATCTAGATACGAAAACATCCACACTTAATCCAGTCTATCGCAAAGACAAAGTACGTATTGATACAAATGGAGAGGAACTTATTGAAGATAAAAATTATGATCCTAAGAATGATTGTATAGAAAACCGCCGTAATGATATCAATAAAACAGACAGTTTAGATGGCGAAGGTAAGAATTGGATGTTATTGATGCTATAATTAAGTAAAGATTTTAATTTAGAATTTTTTTATAAATATCATAGTGGCTGTTTTTTTTAAAAAAAAACTTTGTATCCAATTTTGTCATATGCTAGTGATGTGCTGTATTCGTTACAACGAGTAATTCTAATACAGAAAAGACTAAGTTAACACACTTTTTTATTGCACAATATCTTACGAGAAACTCTCCGAATTTTCCTTTATATAGAATATTCCTTTATAAAAGGGAGAATGTCTCGGGTTACAAGTATTTCCCGAATTGTTATCAATCTATTGTTCGTTACTTCTGTGTAACTGTATCCGTTGTATTCAAGTATCCGAAATAACCAAGATTTTTCAAAACTATTTCATACTTGTTACTCTTAGAATCAAGACAATGAAGAGAAAATAACGAATAAATGATGATTAGATTGCCGTTTCTTAAGTAACTTTTTTTTTTTTTAACCTAAGTTGTTCTTAATGACACACTTACTTATTGTATGTATAAATGCCCCTTAATAATTGGTTAAACCAGCGAATGTTAAGGACTTAAGGACATGACCGTCCAACAAATGAATATTCATACCTAATATTTATGACTCATTGCTTGATTACGCACTACAGTAGAAGGTAATGAGTACGTAGTAGTTCAATGACTCGTAATCCTCATAATGTAATATGGTTACTGTTTATTCAATTTCTATATATAACGTCCCTTTAATCCAAAAAAAAACTTGTTTGGTAGACGGTCTCACAGCAGTTCTGGTTAGAAAATTACGACTTTATTTCATAAATTGAACTCATATTATACATCAGATTACAGTCGACCCCCCTATAAGATAGAGATACGTTCCATTCTCTAGGAATCCGATTTCTTACGAATCCTTCCAATCGCAACCCGACACGTGTCAAGTTTACGGACTACGGCTGTTTGAAAGATTTTCTTCCATAAAATTAATCGATTCTAGACTAATCCGACTCAACATTTCCAAAATANTCGAATATACAATAGCAATCTTATCTTTTTTTTTCGCGTGTAGTATAGAAATTTGTAATAAGATACATAATGCGGTTATAAAAAAATATTGTACGATTATTTTCATATAATTAAAATTAATATGTATTTATTTTTTAGAAAATACAAGGGAAGCTGTGGATGCGCCGCTTCCAATGACAGCACGCCACTGGTTTGAACAGATCTACAGTAGGCCGCAGTTCAATCTTATCTAAGAAAGATACAGTTTAAAATCAAGAAGACTCGCGCAGCTAAAGGAGTAACAAAAATCACATTTGAGAAATAAAGAACATTGAAGAGCTCATAATGAAACCTGAAACGGATCTGATGACAGAAGAACGCCAAGAATCTTGGCAAGATATGTTTTCTTCTGAAAAAGAAGATTAAATAGCAGATATCGGCATTAATAAAAAAGTATAATCTTTTGAAGAAGTGGGAAGATGTCAGAATGACAGTCTTAGAATCTCATCCAAACCAGGATGAAGTTAATAGGCTTGGTGATCTCTACAATTACAATGCTATTAATTACTTCTGAAAAATCCTGAAGAAGAGAGAGAAACAATCGACATTAGACAGATTCTTTAACCCCCACAAACGGAAAAAAACATGACTAATAAAAATGCAAGACTGTGAATATATGTATTTTTATTATTACATATATACTTTCTTACTACGTTTATTTATATTTTTTATGTTTTGGGGTTTCCAGAACTAATTAATTAAATTGCCATAGAAACCTATGGTAAATCGATAATCGGTTAACGAACACTTCGGATAGCGAACAGTCTTTGAACGGATATGTTCGTTAACTAATCACCCACTGTAATTATAAAATTAATTTTATTTAAAAATTTATTATTAATAATAAAAAAATATAAAACAAAAATTTGAGTGCAATTAACTTATATTTTTATTTTTCAAATAAATTGGAAAATGCCACCTAAGTTTTTTCAACTAATTCGAGATTTTAAAGCGTGAGATTATTCTGTTCGACTTTAAAATCGTTTGCACTAGTAAGTAGAACGAACTGATTTTTAATTTTGTCAACGATGAATTTCGCTTCGAGATCTTTACCCGAGCCTACAAAGTTAGTATATTTGAAAATTAAAGTTCTTTTTAATCTTAGTACAGATAATTATAAAACGATTCGAATGGAATTAAAATTATTTATTTTGTTAGTTTTTATTAAGTTCTATTTATTGAATTTAGCAAACATTAAGAAAATACTGTGTATAAAATTAGAATCTAATTGATTTGAAATTTTTTATCGTTGCAAAATTGAAATCGAACGTCTCGGGAGTGATGAGCTCAATTTTTTATCATGAGGCTTAATCGGGACACGGATAGCCCTTTGGAACACTTTCGGAGAAAGCGATGATTTAAAGAAAACTTTCAATCCATTTTCAATAATAACTTACATAATCATTAACAAATACTTTAAGTTGTAATGAATAATTTCTCTATTATTATTAATCAGAAATCGTTACGTAACGTATAACAAATATTAATTGAATTTATGAAATTAAAAGATGAATTTTTTTAAACATGATGTAAGAAAAATCATATATATGCACATATTATTATTCTATGTATATTTATTTATTTTTAATAATAATAGAGAAATAACTAAACATCAACATTTCAAATTTAATAGAAAATAAATTAATAATTTAAATTATTAAGTTATATTAATGATTAAATTTGGCAAGAGATGGCGCATAAGGCCTGCCTCTAGTGCCAAATTACTTAGCATTTAATCAATAATAATAGTACAGTAGTAGTAATATATAGCCCGATATAATCCGGCAATCGTTTGGCGTTAATAGATAAAGCAACAGATTTTTTATTTTTTTCACTCACTTCCTTTCCATTAAATATACAACAGATTATAGTCTATTTATCCTAACTTGGCAGCTACTGTAAACAAAGATTCTGTCGTATTAATCCGCCGAAGATTTTCATTGGTCAAATCACAATCGGAAGTTGCTCGACACGTGTTGACCAGTTAAGCCCCTTTCTCTGCACGTGTTAAAGTAGGTCAAAGTTGTCACGACAATTTAAAAATTACCGAGATAATACAATACTTAGAAAAGTTATTATAGCTTACTTTAACATTTTTACGTAGCCGTTTAAATTATTTCCATCGTTTAAATATAGTTTGTCAAAAATTATTATTAAATATATATTATTAAGACTTACAGAAAACATGTATGAATTTATCTATGTTATATTTATATAAATAAAAATTTTTTAAAATAATTATAGTGTAAACTTACCTTATTAATCATCTGTATCAGAACATAGTTGCTCAAAGTAATCATTTATATCGCTTTCGTCACTACTTGTGTTAGACTGAATAATCAGTTTTTCTACAACAGTTTCTGAAATCTCATCAAGTTCCCACATTCGTTGTTCTTCTTTTTCTATATGTTCAATACATTTTCTCCATCGTTCTTCATTTATTTGTTCGATAGCTTCATTCATTAAAATTCGCACATCCGACAGTTTGAATGTTGTGTTGTGACGTGCGATGTAACCTTTCATATCTGCCCATATCAATTCAATAGGATTTAAATTACAATGATACGGAGGTAAACGTAACACGTCGATACCTATTTCTTTGGCCATTTCGTCAATAATATATTTATCGTATTTATGTTTTATTTTTTTAACAATATCCAAAAGTTCTATTTTCAACANTCGCCGTTGAATAAGAAATGTTTCTTTCACAAGAAATGTATAAAATTACAGTACTGTATTAGACTTACGGTACCTAATTTACATACTGACAGACGATAGTTAGCGTAAAAATCTCCGTAGCGTGGCGCCACGCTAGACGGCGGAAATTATATATTTAATTATAACAAAGTTACAATAAGTTAATATATAATTATATATACAGTACCTAATTTATATATAATTAATATATAATTATATGTACAGTACCTAATTTATATATAATTTATATAATACTGTCCAGACGATAGAAATCTCTCCGTAGCGTGGCGCTACGGACGGCGGGAAAGTAGTTCGGCTGCCCGATGACGTTTGAAGTGTTTATAGGGAACTTTTACTATTTTTTACGGAGACCGGTAGCAATTTTTTCGTAGTTTTATAGGAATCGTAATTATAGGGACCGTAATTATAGGGGGGTCGACTGTATACAAATGTATTTTGGTTGGTGTAAGAGGGATTGTAGACTTACACCAACCCGAAATGCACTTGTATAATCTGATGTATAATATGAGTTCAATTTGTAAAATAAAGTCGTAATTTTCTAACCAGAAATGCTGTGAGACCGTCTACCAAACAAGTTTTATTATTATTATTATGTTGCGTTTTATGATTTATACTCGGTTCACACTGGTGGCTGTGTACTATGCCGGACCAAAGTCAAGGCATAACAACCAAAACAAAACTAAAATAAGTGTGTCAATGTGTGTGTCTGTATTCAGGAATTTCCTAATAATGTGGCATGTATTCAATATAGTGGCCTTCTGTAGTGTGATGTATGTATTTCTACTCAATTGTAATGTTCCCAGGCTTTTGTGTAGTGTGTGTGGTATCACACCTGTACAGGAGAGAACGACAGGTACAATAAGCACCCTATCCATCCTCCACAGATGCCTTATTTCCTGGGCGAGTTCCGTGTACTTACTAATTTTTTCAGTGCATGTGTTTTGTACATTGTGAGTGTTTGGAATGGCTATGTCTATAATGTATGTGATTTTATTGTGTTTATCAATGAGTGCGATGCCTGGTCTGTTGTGGTAAATTGTTTTATCTGTGATTATGGCTCTGTCGTAATACATTTTGTGCGTGTTGTTTTCCAATACTGTCTGTGGAATATACTTGTAGTTTGGTTCGTGAATGTCTACCAAGTTGTGTTTCTTTGCAAGCTTTTGGTGTATTATATTTGCTACTTGATTATGTCTGTGTAAATAATCTGTCTGTGCCAAGAGCTTGCATCCAGAAGTGATGTGTTGTATAGTTTCTGGCATGATGTGACATTTTCTGAATGTGTCATTTGTGAGTGTTGTATCTTTGAGTATGTGTTTTCTGTAGTTTTTAGTATTTATGACCTGATCCTGTATGGCAATCATGAATCCTTCCGTCTCCCCAAAGAGGCATCCCCGATCTAACCAGCTGTTTGACGCAGTTTTGTCAACAAAATCCTGGGCCAGGTCGTAAGGATGCCTGCCATGGAGAGCCTTTTGAGCCCATGATTGCTTAATGTTGTCTATGCTTTTTATATGTTGTGTCATGTCTGTATGTTGTGAGTGTAAGTTTAATGGTGTGTTATTTGAGTCTGCTAGAGTTACTGCTTTATGTAACTGTGATGTTTCTTGTTTCTTGTAGAAAAACTCTCGCAGTGACTGTATTTGTTTGTAGTGAAGGTTAACTATGTCAATCAGGCCACGTCCGCCTTCTTTACGTGGAAGGGTTAATCTTTCTGTGGCGGATTTAGGATGATGTTGTTTATGCTTAGTAAGTGTTGTTCTTGTTTTCCTTTGGAGTTGCTCGAGATCTGTGTGAGTCCAATGTATAACTCCAAAAGAGTATGTGAGTACTGGGATGACATATGTGTTTATTGCTTTAACTGTGTGTTTTGCATTTAACTGTGTTCTAAGTATAGCGTTTAACCTACTTTGGTATTCTTTAATTAATCGTTGCTTTATTTGTGTATGTTCTGTTAGTTTGGCCTGTTGGAATCCTAAGTACTTGTAGAACTCGCCCTCTTCCATGGATTCAATAACGTCTCCATTTCCAAGTGCAAAATCTTCTTTCTTCAGGATTCCTTTTTCTATGTGAAGTGTTTTGCATTTGTCTAAGCCAAACTCCATTTGTATGTCCTTAGTGTATGAATGTGTGATTTGTAGGAGTTGATGAAGTTGTTTTTGTGTGGATGCATAAAGTTTTATGTCGTCCATGTACATGAGATGTGAGAGTGTAAACTGTGTTGTTTTTTCATGTCTGATATTGTAGCCATAATGCGTGTTGTTTAACATGTTGGATAATGGATTCAGGGCTAGGCAGAACCAGAGAGGACTCAAGGAATCTCCTTGAAAAATTCCTCGCCTAATGAATATTTCGTTTGTTTGTATGGAAGTGTTACTAACCCTGAGATGTAGTGTTGTTCTCCAGTGCTGCATAGTGTTTTCGAAGAATGCAATGAGTGATGGATGTATTTTGTACATGTGTAGAATATGTAGCAGCCAACTGTGTGGAACACTGTCGAATGCTTTTCTGTAGTCTATATATGCCATGTGTATGTTTCTGTGTTGTTTGTGTGCTTGCCGTAGAATGACTGAATCTATGAGTAACTGTTCTTTGCATCCCCTGTGATTTCTACGGCAACCTTTTTGTTGTTCTGTAAGAATGTCGTGTTCTTCAACATGTTTGTATATTTTGTTTGTGATACAGGATGTCAATAATTTGTAGAGTGTTGGAAGACATGTAATTGGTCTGTATTGTGTGGGGTCTGTGGTTTTGTTGTTTTTAGGTTTCATGTAGGTGATGCCCTGAGTAAGAAATTTTGGCATGTCTTGTGGATTGATGATGATGTGTGTTAGATGTTTAGCTAGTTCCTGGTGCAGTGATGTAAACTTTTTGTACCAGAAATTGTGAATGTTGTCTACACCAGGTGTCTTCCAGTTGTGTGTTCTGTTAACAGCGTAGCGGATGTTGTGTACGTTTATTTCAGCACAGGGCATAGTTGGTATGTTGTGCAAGTTTCTGTTCTCCTCCTCGATCCAGCCCGCATCAGCATTGTGTGTAACAGCATTGGACCAAAGAGAAGACCAAAGAGAATAAGTTGTGAGTTCTTCTTCTGTTGGTGTGCCACTGTGCTGTGTATTAGTATTTGTTTTGGTACTGATTTGTCTGTAGAAAAGATTTTCGTTGTTTGTGAATAATTTATTTTGTTGTTTTCGTAGTGTACATGTTTTGTATCGTTTGTATCGTGCTTTGGCTGCAAGTTTTTGTTTTAGTGTATCGATGTATTCTGTAATGTGTGTTGTGATGTTCATGTTTTGTATGTGTTTTGATTTTCTTGAAAATGTTTTTGAGTTGTTTCATTAATTTGGATGTTATGTTGTTTTTAGTGTAATGTGTCAGCCTGCCTAATTGCTGTCTAATGTCATTTATTTGTGTTTCTATTCTTCTCTGCCAGGCAGGCTTGTGATAGAATTGTGTTTTGTGTGTGTCTGTCTGTGATTGTATTTTCAGTCCATGGTGTGTTACTACTGTGACTGCCCCAGCATAAACTAATGTATGAATGTCTGAGAGTGTAGAAATTGAATGAATGTAGTTTGGTTGACGTGTTGATTTTCGGTATTCGTGGTCTTTGTGTTGGATCTGTGCGTATATATTTAGTGAGTATTTCCTGAAGTATAAGTGAGAGTGTATTAACTAAATCTATATCTATGTTATCAGTGATGGATGAGGAAGTGTCTAAAGTATCATTAATGGTACTTGTTGTATGTGTACTATCATCAATGCTTGTTGCTGGATTATCCTGACAGGTTAAGTGATCTTCATTAATTAATGTTAAATGTTTCTGTCTGTTGATGTATTTGTTCAGCAACCTGTTGTTAGATAAGTTCAAGTGTTGTTTGTGGGATAAGGTTGTTGTTTATAATTGTTCTTTTTTGATCGACAACCCTTTGTTCGGTGACAGTGAGGTGAGAATATTGTTGTGTGAATCTATGATGTAGTTGTCTGTATGCTGTCATGTTTGTTTCGAGTCTTGTGATGGTGTAGTAAGTACGGATGATAAATTCGTTCATTTCTATTGTCCATTTCATCCGTTGGCGTGGTTTTCCAGCCTTTGTGGTCTGTGGATGCATTGCCACAGAAACACCAAGGCTAGGTTGATTCCTCACATCCGTTGAGGGCATTGCAGTAACCTTGCTTGGGCCGGCGCTGCTTTCGCCACCGGTAATCAAGGGAGATTGTGGCCTATTTTTCGAACGTGAGCCTCTGCCTAACCCACGATCACGGACCTTGTCAACCCGGGCGACGTCCGAGCCGGTATCACACTTTGATCTGGTTACTACCATAATAATTATCTCCACAGAATGTGGGTGTGGTCACTCTTAGCTTCATTTCTCCCCATAGACCTTACTGGCATGGGTGTCCCTACCAGAAGCTTGTGCTCCAGCCTGCATTGCTCTATAGTTCAGTAAAATTACTGGGCTCTCCCACCACAACCAGGTGGTGACAACGGGAGAGTTATTATTATTAAAGGGACATTATATATAGAAAGTCCTAATCCTCATGTAATTGCAGTGGCGGATGAATCCACACACGAGGATTAGGAGTCACTGAACCGTACTCGTTACTTTCTAGTGTGTAATCAAGCAACGAGTCACAAACGTTAGAGATAGTCGTGTGTTATTCATACCTATCTATCCGCTTTTCAAAGTAAGGCCGAGACTTCACTACCGTAAAAACGGCGTAAACACCCCTCACCGTAAAAACTTTTAATCACGTGACTTATTTGCGTCTGGATTGTGGTGGAGGTCCGGCTAGCGAAGTTTTTACGGTACTATCGAAGTTATAACGACAATGATTATATTCTACAAGTTTTTTTTTCTGTACTATAATTACAAATGTAGTAAAAATAATATCTTTACTTTCATATATTAACTTTTATTATCGTATTATTAATTAAGATAATATACAGCACTTATTAAGCTTAGCTTTCTTCATTATATACTCCTCTAAATTGAAGGATTTTCCTTTGGCCGTCCGTATCGCGTGAATTAGGCATCCATTATTATAATCGGGATACTTCTTGTCGTAGATACACGAATACTTTCGGATGTTTTCGATAAATCTTTCCAGATCTATTCTAGAGTAGCCACGAGGGAACGTACACAAAAGCTCGTTTTCCGCCATTTTCGCACCGTGTCCCAATGACCTAGATTTCACTGACTTCTGATTGGTGGATGGTACCGTTTTACGGCCGTATTCGCGTCCAAAGTTGAACACTGCTCAACTCGCTTTACGGTGGTTTTACAACCTGCTCAAGCATAAAATATCAGGGCCACGTGATTGAAAGCTTTTACGGCGAGGGATTTTTACGTCGTTTTTACGGTAGTGGAGTCTCGACCTAACGGGCTTGAATATTTTTTGGTAATAAACAAGTACCGATATCTATACCGCTACTCAGAAGTAACGGGAGGCACATCACTACCATAGATCAATGTTTAAACTTATTTTTCAGAAATTTACAGGATTAGACTACCGTGAATTAAAATTACATATACAATTGTATCGAATTGCATTTCATTTTACTTTCTTTAATTGAAACCTCGACGAGTCGGATTGTCGAAGCGGTGGAATATCAAGCCTGCTTAATCTCGAATTATGTGAATAGCAACAAATTCGGTACTTTTCCGGCTGTTAAAGTAACAGACGGAAAGTATTGAATCGGTCAAATTTTGACCCTTTGGATTGTTTGATTCCTCAACATTTTAAAGTCCCCTAATTCCAAGAACACTAAAAACAGGAAGAACAAAATAATGTATAGGCCTGTATTTTGCTTCATCTCAGGACTTTATGGACTAAATATTTTTAAAATTTGGCGGGAATACTTCCATATACAGATATTGTTGCTATTATGTTTTGAAGATTATAAGTCAAAGGGAGATAGGTGTATGGGGTAATTTCGCAAGAGGGGTCAGACTTAATACAAATTTTACTCACTATTGGTATTTATAATTTTAGAAAAAACTCCCCTACCCCAAAATATGACGATTTATTCCTGTCTATGGGATTGCTAAAAACTATGCTTCAGTAATTTATTTTTTCTGTCATTTTGCGATTTTGGTATAGATACAGAAAACTAGATTTGAGAACATCAAGTTTAAATATGAATAAAATACTTTAAAAATTGATTAAAAAAATGAAAGAAAAACACCTTTTTTCTGTGATGAATTATTTTTATTTTTTTCCCCAGAAGACAGTGTTACTCTTACAGCTTATCTTTTATCTACTATAACTAAACAAAATGGTGTTGATCTTTACTTTCCTATTGGAGTTTCCGTAAAGCAGAGTAATGATATCATTATATGTGACACTGGCCATCATATGGTGTGGATCGTAGATGAATCTGGTAAACCTAAACAGAAAATTACTCAAAGAAAGCAAGGTAAGGAATATTATTGTGTTTTCATTAATAAAAATCACATTTGACGTTTCACAATTCTTTTTATTAAATTGGATGTGATATTGGTTGATAGCCTATGTAAATTTTCAGAAAGTTAAATCTAACTGAAAATTGCATTGATAATTTTCTTTCGCACGTAAGTATCTGATGATGATATTGAAATAACAGCCAAAAGTCATCTATATCTACAGTAATAATAAAGATATTATTAAACTAAATAAAATCAAATTACAGATCAGATCGAGATCAGATCGAACTGTCTTTCGGTTAAACGTTTACGCCATAGATTATTGTGAAAAGATGTCATTTAAAATATCTACAGTAGGCTTTGATTTAGATTGCTTATGATTTATTAAAATTATTGATTTCTGCTGTGATTTCCGTTTAATCTCTTTCGATACAGTATTAACTAAAATGTATAAAATTATCTTGTCTAATCTACGATGTCAACAAACGTGCTGGACCGAGAGCTTTATGGTCTAGGAGTAGAGCAGTTTCCTTTAGCCTTTTGTTTTTAAACAAATGAAGTACATAGAACATTTCTTTATTAATTAAAAAGACGTTTAAAAGATTTTATTTTCTATTAGTAAAATTAACGTTAATTTTGTAGGGGTAAGAATCACTATGAGCCCTTAGCTTTTTCTCTGGGCTGGGGGAAAAATCAGTTTCTGCTTCTCGATGAACCTGCAAAACTAAAACTAGGGCTTTTTAAATATGCTGTTATGGGTTTCGACAGACCCACAGGGTTAATGAACAATAGGAATCCGGTTTAAAATCATCCATATTATTAAAATAAGATATATTTAGATGTCATTTTCCACTGTAGAATTATTTTTATTTTTTAAAAAAAATTCATTTCCTTTTCCAGGAGTAAATCTGTATAGACCTTCGGCAGTTGTTGTTACTGAAGACGATAATTTTGTTGTGAAAGATAATCACGGACTTCATTTATATAGTCAAAACGGCATTTTCATAAGAAGTATTGGAGAAAGAATACTTCAGAAGCCTTATGGTAAATTTGAAATTTTGGATTTAGCTGCTAAAAAAATAGGATAACTTCAGGGCCGGACTAACCCACTTTTGAGGCCCTAGACATTTTCTTCTTCAGGGTCCCCTGTCGGCTCTTTCAATTAATAAATTTTGTTACTATTATTTCTATTAAATCGCATACGGACACTGCAGCTGCTTAATAAAAATAAAAGCAAAATTATTTAATAATATTTCACAGGATTCAAGAATACATATAGTTAATATTATTCTTATCTCTATAAAAAAAATTCTAAATTATTGGGAGTTCCCTTTTACTTTCAATTAGAAGAAACATAAGAATACGAGGGTTTGGTTCAAAAAGTTCCCGAACTTTTGAACAAACTTCACATACTTCACATATTTGTCAGGGTTCCCTTCAAAGTAGTCTCCTCCGCAACGTATACACTTATTTCAACGGTGTTTCCACTTTTTAAAACAGTCCTGGAACGCTTTCTCCGGAATGCTCATAAGCTCCTCCGTCGCTTTTTCTATCTTTGGAATGGTGGCAAATCTTTTTCCTTTGAGCGTGTTTTTTAGTTTGTTGGAAAACAGGAAAAAGTCGCATGAGACCAGGTCAGGTGAGTAGGGTGGGTGGGGAAGCACAGCGGTCTTGTTTTTGGCCAAAAACTCACGAGTTCTGAAAGACAAATGAGTCGACACGTTGTTGTGATGAAAAAAAACCACTCGCCGCTTCTCCAAAATTCGGGCCGTTTTCGCCTGATTCTGTCTCTTAGGCGTTTCATAACACCAAGTAGTACTCCGTGTTGACTGTCTGGCCTGTATATAGGTATTTGTGATGCACAAACCCCTTTGCATCGAAAAAAACAGTCAACGTCACCTTAACATTTGAGCGAACTTGTCGAGCTTTTTGGAGCACTGTTTCACCCACCCGTGGGAAGTTTCCGTGAAGGATTTTCCGAGTTTCACACAGAATTTCACAGAACAACGTTGCTCTTTCAAAGAGTTGATTTTCGCGGATCCGATTTTTCGCCGAACCCCACAAACACCCCTTCACATAAACGGCTTTAACTAATCACCAAAACAAGATATCAACAAACGGGTTGAAGGAGGTTACTCGGGAGGTTTCCGCGGACACAACGCCTCCAAGCGAATTAAAAAATAACCAACTGGAGGCGCGCTATTCAAAAAGTTCGGGAACTTTTTGAACAACCCACGTTCATTTTCTTTAGATTTTAGAATTCACTATAACCATATAAAAGCAATACTGTATATTTTTGTTTATTATATACAGTTGTCCAACAGAAAAGTAAACTATCTTATTTACAAATCTTTTCAAAATAGACAGTTTGACCGGACCCTTCTAAAAACCGGGCCCCAGACATTTGTCTCATTTGTCTATGCGATGATTCGGTCCTGGATAACTTCTATACTAATTTTTGGAATAGAAAAGAGGTCGTGAAATTGATGATAGTAGTTTAGTAATAAGCTAGATTTAAGTAAGATATCCGTTTTAAAAAAGTTTCAACTGTGTTTGTATTCAGTCAGTTGATTATATTTTTCCGAATTTTCGTATCAAAATATATTTTGACTAACATAAATTGAATGATAGATTCGGGGCAATTTTCTTATACCATCTCCCTAATATATTTATTACATGTATATTAACTGTTTATATATTCATTAGCTGTTTCCTTGAATATACAGTATATAAAATAAATCGAATGATTTGAGATAAAATATCAATGCTCATTAAATTTATAGGACTTGCAATAACAGAAGATGAAAAATTAATAACATTGAACGAGACATCAACACCCAGTTTATTTGTTTTCAATAAGGATGGCGGCATAGAAAATGAGAATTTATTCGAACCACTAGCAGAAAGATCAGCAGCATCAAAATGTCGATTTTTGGCATCCTATTCGAATGAAGTCGTCGTATCTGATTTAGGTACGGAAGTGTTATAAAATATTAGAAATTTTACTAACGAATTTTTTAACTTTAGGATTAAGCAAGATATATAAAACAACTATGGACGGGCAACTGATTAAAGAATTTGGTTCTTACGGAATAACTGATGGTGCTATGAATGAACCGTCTGGCATTACTTTAGATCCAAAAGGAACTATGCTTATTGGTGACAGCAAAAACGATCGCATTCAGGTAAAATGGTTTGGTATTTGAAGTAATTATCTGGTTAGTTGTATTTATAACAAGTAAAACGGCAAAACCGTATTTGGGACAAGACTATGTCTGGGTGACTCACTACTAAGCGGAAACACTTTGACCCTCAAGGCGGGTCTCATTCTCATTCTCCAGTCTTCTTTGGTATCGCTGCTTTTGGGCGCGATAGTTCAAACTTCGCCGGCCACGATGCATTTTCGATGAAATTAACTTATCCAATTTCGAAATTTCTCTCCGTCGGCCCGGGTTGAATTTTTGTCGATGCGTAACGAAAAGTTCCCGTTTTTGAAAAAAATAATCGTGGCTACTGTATCGTCTGAATTTTTTTTTTTTAATTTTGCACAAACAATATACAGTTTAACCTGATTATAACGTCACGACAACCCTAATATAACGTCAAATTTTTATCGGTCCCACGATTTTACTATACAGTAGAGTCTCGAAAACTCGGCCTAATGTGGACCGAAGGGTGGCCGAGTTTGTGAAAATGCCGGGTTATCGGGAATGGGGTTAAAAAAAATAAGTATAGTGTTTCCTCAGAAAATACTGCACTGTACTTGTATGTATTGTTTACTTGAGAATACAACAGAGAATAAACTGCCCAAATACCCTTAAACAAAGGAAAAGTACGTCTTTTATGAAGGCATAGAGCCTTTACTACATGAAAATGAAAATTAATGAACACACTGTGTTCAGTAATTTACCTGATAAGACAGACCTCCGAAAAATACTTTATGAGGCATAAAGCTGTCTATAATGAAAATTAATTAACTACGGATTTTTTTGCCCTGCCAGGGTGTGGCCGAGTTATCCGGACTGCCGGGTTATCGAGTGCCGAGTTTTCGAGACTCTACTGTACTAGATAATGTTAAAGAACCCACTTGTAATGACATAAAACCGTTTTAACGTCATATTTGAAGCACTCCCAATTTACAAAATTAGATTACAAATTTTATTTAACATAGAAGAAACTACGTGTTCAGTCCTAAGATCAGAGTTCACTTCTTAGAATGACTGTAGGTGGTACTCTCCCCCATATGACTTCGGTGGGGTGAGGTACCTGTTTTGCCTGTTGTAGAAGAGGATCGCCATTTTGTATTTTATTTTGACTCTGTTCTCGGTCCCCTGACTACCTACGAGTCTGGATTTTTTATGCGCAAATGATTTGGGCACCTAATACTCTGCCAAATATCAATTCTCGACATGTACTCCTTCATACCTCTATGCTGGTAACATAAAACGGCAGTACGGTTTTATAGACGAGACATAGTCTTGTCAATAAATAAATAAATGTTTCCAATTCAATAAAATTTATTTAAGCAAATATATTTTTAGATCTTCGACTGGAATGGAGAATTCTTAGGTAACGTGATTTTCACCTCTCCAATTAGGAGACCTTCGGATATCGCTTTAACTAAAGATGGACGTTTATATGTTGCTAATTACTTGGATCATTATATATCAGTTTTTCGTCTTAAAATAGGAGATTGATTTTAAAATTTATCCGATAATCATCATATACAGTAAATCAATATTAATTCGGATTATAATGCATATTGAAACTATTGATTATCTTTCCTTTCGTTAAAAAGTTTTGAAAATTAAATTATTTAATGTAAAAAAAATTTAATAATATAATAATCTTTCTGTTATATTAAAATAAAATGAACAAAAGAATATTAAATAAATTATATAAAGAATTATTAAAAGATTATTTAAAGAAATATTTAATAATATAAAGATGTATTAATTATACAGTACATAATTTACTCTTATTTTGATTTTTCGTCATATTTCATATGTATTTTCGGATACAAACATTTTTCGTCTGTTATTTCATATGTATTTTTTGTTAAAAAATAAAATATACTTTTAATTAATATTTATATTAGTGGCATAACATGTATGAGACTGCAATCGCAACATTTCCAAAACGGATCTCCATTAGGCTATCTGTAATTCTTTTCGCAAAACAGCTTAATATACATAAAATTATAAAGTGATAAATGATTTATACATTTTAAAAATAGTAAACTATATAACAGATTGTTTCTTATATTTTGAACGGGTAATGCACTGTACTCAATTCGGATTCGGAAGTTTTGTAAAGTTCGAAAGCTCCTTTTGGTAATATACAGTGACCTTGATAGAAATTAGTCAAATAATCGGTTTTCTTCAGTAAGTAAATAAACTGATCTATTGTGCATTTTTACAGTCCGACCAAGATATTGGTCTAGAGTAGCCATGTCCAACCCGTGGCCCAGTCAATGTTTTTGTGCAGCCCTTTAAAACCGTAATTATCTTGTGATATTTCATTTGTAATAAAAATTTACACATGTATAGTTAAGAAATATTCCTATTCTAATCTCAATTGTAAATTTCGAATGCAAAAATGATTGTTTTAATTCTATGTTATTTATGATAAAATCTCTATTTATTATATAAAATAATTAAACCGATTTTTAATATTAGCTCGATAGAAAAATTAGATTAAAAAAACTGTTGACTGCCGTAACACAATACTTCTGTGAAAATAGAGGAAACGAGACAACGAATGAACTCGAATAATTCTAATTAAGATTCAGACGGGATATTACTGTATATAGGTATGTAATAGCCTATATAAACTATAACGGAAAATAAGATTTAAAGTAGGCAATTTATTAATTTTCATTTTGCTTTAACAATTTCATTGGATAATTAACAATGAAAATGACTGAATCGCTTCCCCAAAAATGAATGAAAAGATCCGATTCCTCTGAAGATTAATCGATCAATTTTTGTTGAAAACTACCGCCGCTAATTGTGATATTTTGCTTATCAAAGTTAAAAAGTATTTAAATGTAGAAAGATCGTAGTCTTTTTTGAAGCAAACTGAAAAAAGCACTCGCAATAACAGTGGCGTGCCGTCATTAGAAGTGGTGGATGCGCCGCTTCCCTTGTATTTTCTAAAAAAATAAATATAATTTTAATTATATGAAAATACTGTAATCGCACAATATTTTATTATAACCGCATCTATATATACAGTAGAGCCTCGATTATCCGACCCAATTGGGGACTGGGGTTGGTCGGATAATTGAAAAGTCGGATAACCGAAAAGTATGAAAAAATCCATTATTAGTGTAGTATATTATTATATCCCATGTAATTAGTATATTAGTATATCGCTATTAACCTATTT